AGCCAGATTCACACACTGAGGGGGGCGTGGCCTCGTGGAGGGGGCGTGGCCTCGCGTAGGGGGCGTGTCCTAACAGTGAGGCAGATGTGATAGCTGCCTCCCCTGGTGCTTTTTCATTGCAGTTTCATGACGAGACCTGCAGCCACGAAAGCTTCAAATCAAGATTGAGACCAGCGAGCCTAAATATCTTTATACACATACGTGAAATAAGTTACCTGGAGCATGGAAGGCGAGGACATGAAATGAAGGGGTCTACAAACATTACATTGGTAACATACTGAGATAGTAACAGGCACGCGCTTATTGCCCGCGCTCCATCCAGTAACTGAGGGGTTGCGCAATCAGAGGGGAGGCTGAGCTCGTCGCTGCCTCACCTCTCGTCTCTTCCTGTATTTGCAGCGGAGCTCCGCAAAATTGGCGATTTTTACATAAAAATGATTGGAATCGTACAGAAATGACATTTATAACACAGATCAGTGGAAAAATCTTTGTATTTATTAGATTAACTTTTTTTACTTTTCGTAACAGCTATTTTTCATTGGAGTATGACAGGTGAGGCTCTGCCTCCCCTGCCTCCCCTGACCGCACGTCCCTGGTCGGAAGGGAGTCAATGAGTCACCACAATTACACACACACACGGCGCACGCACACACAAAGACAACGATCCCCCGTGTAGCCTTTGAAAGCCGGCACGGCACACGAGGGGGTGGGTGGCCAGCACCCCTCCCCGGCCGCCTTTGTCTCCCCAGTGGCGACGTTTACACACCGCACACCAAAACACTCACTCCCAGCGCGAGGCCGACACAATTACATCTCGTGGAGGATCGCTCCTCTGAACAAAATCGTTCCGCGGTTCAGTTTGCAATTGCGAGTTCGCGTTTGAAGTCATGGGAAGCTGGTTCGTAAGTACGGGCTTACGTAAGTCATGCGTTCGTAAGTCGAGGATGGTCTGTATCCGTTTAGCTGCGTAATTGGACCGAAAAATCGGTAACGATTACTTAAATTATCGAACCGTAGACCTTCCGGAAGTGGTGATGCCATTGTGCAATGCCAGCTCAGACAGGTACCATGTCACGAACATGTTTTGCATCAAGTGCTAGGATAACACAAAAGGGAAACTTTACTTGAATTTCTGGTTCAAGTAAACACATTTCAGATATTTATCAAAACTGATTTCATGTGATACAGGTTTGTTGAATGTACATTATTTGCATGTGTTGGTATTTTTGATGGATGTGTGGTGCCACCGCAGCGGAGCAGCTCCGTCGGGGGCCGTACCCACCACCGTGACACCACCACCGGGGGGTGACAACGCCGACGCGGCGCGCCCTCGGCGCCCCCCCCCCCGCACGAACGCACACACCCCCCATAGAGCCGGGAGGGAAGGTCACCTGGCCGACGGGTTTTTATCTAGAAGCCCCTAATGGGATCAAGCTTCATGGTTTCCTGCGGCCGGGAAATTGGGCGATCTCCCCCCGTAGCTGACGTACACCGTGGCGCCGTGACTTGATATTAAAATTACGTGGTCACGGCAGAGGCAGTAGAGCCACCACAGATAAAATCACACACACACGGCACGGGGCGTGGGAATGGCGGTACGCCTTTGTCATAGGTAAAATTAGGGACCCCAATAACAACGGGACAGGAGCATTCCGAAATCTGAATGGACAAGGCAGCACGGGGTGCGGAAGCATCCGAATGCTTTTTATTTTAGGTAAGGTCACGGGTCTGAATGTGAAAGAGACGAGAATAACTCGGCCTCTGAATGGACAGGGCAGGCGCGGGTGCAGAAGCATCTGAATGCCTTTTGGGTGGATAAAATACGGAGGCTTAGCGGAGCAGGAGAGTCAGCCGTTCGAGACGTCCGTGTGACGAGCTCCAGCACAGCCAGGCTCAACCCTCTACAGAGACGACTCACAGCCTCGTCCTTCTACAGCGTTCAGTGCAGCAGAGTGGAAGTAAGCGCAAGTGAGAGAGAAGTGAGTTCGAGTGATTTAATCGAGAGTGGAGAGCGTAGCGACAGGCAGGGTAAATTCAGTCTAGGATCCCAGGGGAAATAGGCTGGCATCCACTGGCCCACACAACTACGCGTAGCTTAACGGGTTACTCGCGGTAAATAAAATCACTAGTAGGGGGATAAACTGTGTCGTGTGGTCTTTGGGAGCGTGAACAGGAGGGTAGAACGTGCGTGGTGTCCACGTACATGCGCGGTTGTTTACCACGAGGCGTAGTGTTTAGCGCGCGCGTGCCTATGCGACTGGTTTCGGTGGTGTTTAGCGCGCGCGTGCCCGTGCGATTGCTTACAGTAGTGCTTAGCGCTCGCGCGCCTGTGTCACGGTGTTGCGGTCGCGTGCCTGCGCGGTTGTCTCTAGCGAGGTAGCGAACTAAGCGCCTGGCGTGCGCGTATTCGCGCGGCTGTTTAAACGGCCCTTTAAATCGGGGAGGCGAAGCGACCGCCCTCCAATCAGCCGCGCGCGCACGGCAGATGCCCCTGGCCTCCCACCCCCGACTCCCCGCTCCCTCGCGTGTGATTGGCACACGGGGCTCGGCAGGCGGCAGCGTCGTGTTTGTTGTTGCCGGGGCTCGTAGAGCGTGTGTACGAGAGAGTCACGCGTCAGCATACCGTACCTATTGGTTTACGTATGGGAATCACGCGTCGGCGCACCGCACCCATTTGTTCACGTGCGGGACGGGGTTTTACTTTGCGAGCGCGCTCACCGCGGCACACCGCCACTGAACAGCGTAGCGCGTCGTAAGCGTAGAGCAGGCGGCCGCATCGAGTGAAACATACTTACGCGGTCGACAACACAGTCAGGGGCACAGGGGGGCGAGGGATTAGGGGTCAGTAGCCCGGACCCGACAGAGCAGCCGGGGGGTAGTGGTATGAATAGAACGGGGGAGTCGGGGAGCAACGGCCCCGACAATTCGGTGATGGCGGGGGACGGTAGTCCCCACAGATGCACGCACACGTTTGTATTTTGTATGCGTGTATAATGACGACTTGACACACTTCTCTTGAGATGGCACTTTATTGAAGACACGTTCACTTGTAATCAGGCAGAGAGACCCCACTGCAAACAGCCCCGAGTCTCCCACACACATCTCCCTTATATGAACCTTACAGTGGTACCCCGGGTGATCATAGTACCCCGGCTCTCGCATAATGTCCGTGATGCAGTAGTCATCTTTAGTCTGTTGATGGTCAGCGATGCGGCAATCGACTCATCTCGACGAGCTGTACTCACGATGCACCACCACCACGGTGCGTACCGCGAGCGTTCGGGGTTTCGGCGCAATCGTCCTCGCTCCGTTAATTCGACATCGCGTAGTAGCACCGATTTCGGATTGATTGGTACCCCAGTACCAGAGTTAAGGGGCCGTTCATAAATGACGTCACGCGATTTTGGACGATTTTTGACCCCCCCCCCCCCCGTCACACGGCGTCACAAAAAGTCAGACCCCCCTCGAATATGACGTCACAAAGCTCTGCCGCCCCCCCCCCCCAAAAATATAAAACATGCTTCAAATCACTTTAAACTATTGTCATTGTAGTGCGTATTTAATGTGGCGCTGCACTCTGATGTTGTAGGAGAAAACAATTATTAAAAAGTCTATTTAATTAAGTATAACGTGGTTGTCTCTATTTATTTAAAGTTGAGCATTTTGATGTGACGTCACATTACTCAAACTTCCCCCCCCCCCTCGTCACACATCGTCACAAATGTCTGACCCCCCCCACCTAGGTGCGTGACGTAATTTATGGACGGCCCCTAAGTACACCCCTGGAAAAAATAGTGTCCCAAAAATAAAATATTTTATTGCCTCGGCCATTTGTAATTATTTGGTATTCCCTGGGGAACCGCCATGAGGATAATTTATCAACACGAGGTCACGCCCCCCTTCTCGATCATTCTCGCTGACTCTGGACGCTTGCTCTACCGGCAGCCTCTACCGTCCTCTTCCGTCACCTGATCACGCTCCCTTCTCGAACATTCCCGTAGCCACCAGTCCCTTCGCACTCACAACTCATACCCCTGTCATTACCCCCCCGTGGCACTCGCGCATTCGTACTGTCGTTGACTTCCCTGCCATTACCTCCTGTGGCCACTAGTCCCCTCACACCGCATGCTGCCTCTATTGTCATTACACGTGTAACGCTGCATACACCACAACGAAGCACAGTTCTTGTTTCATTCGGCAAGCCTATGTTTTCATGCATAAAATGGTACGTTAAAATAGCCTTGAAAAATATATTAAATAATTTACTTTTGTCCAACTTTCTGATAAATACTATTCATGCATCGTCAAAACAAATGTACACTTTGTCACATTCAAACTTATATAAGAGATGCTGCTATTGTGGTCAGAGGCACGCTTTGTTCATGTTTAGCTTTAGTTTCAAGCGTGTACAGTACCTCGCATTTTACATCTCAGACTTCTCTGCTGTCAGAGAAGGGGAGTTGATTTCCTTTCTGTTGAAATTGTGATTGGGCAATGAATTGGACGTCTTAGGGTCTTGGGTTTGACAACGGCGTGAATGAATGAGCTAAGTCGCATGCAGATTCCGCAATAAGGATTCTATGAATGAAAATGGCCGAATGTTGAATTATTCTTGCATCACGTGATGTGGGAATGGATTTTGCACAATGGTGGGTCCAGGGCAAAAGGAAGAGTTTGAGACTAGGCTCGAAAGAAAGCTGTCTATGGTGTGGACCAATCAGTTTCAAAGACAATGCATATATTATCAGAGTATGTTTTTGGTTTGCATTCTGACCACAAGTATTGTGGTTAATGCAGACATGATTCCTTGTAAAAGGTTTCAGTTTGGTGTTTTAACATCTTAACACCTATATTCTTGGTTCTTTCGGTAAAGTCACATAGAAGGGAAACAATAAAATGATAAAAATATATTTTAATTATTTTAAAATAAAAATAAAATAATCAAAATTGTTTCCCTTCTACGTGACTTTACCGAAAGAACCAATAATATGAATCCCTGCAGTCACGAAAGCTTTAAATCAAAATCTTAACACCTGTTTTGTTGCCAGAAAAAAGGAGAAAACCTATTCTCATATTTTGGAACTGGCAAAGGAGGTCCCATGACGGGATTAGTCTGTTTAGCGTTTCATTCGAAGCTGGTCTATAAGCAGTGGCACAGTCGTTAAAGAGTGGTAGAATGATAGCTTCAACAATTTGCAGATAGAATCGAATGGGAAAAAATGTTTGTTTCTGTATGAAAACAATATTTTTTTATTTTCGTTGAGATGTGATCAATGTGGTTGGAATGTATTTGAAGCACTCCGTTTTTTAAATTGTTTCTCATATTCGTAAGAGGTGAAGGGAATGAAACTGGATTTGTTTGAACAAAAATAGCCTCGTCTTACAATTTTGGAGATTTAGCAGCAATTTTAATGACAATTGATATTGAATTTTGATTTAAAGCTTTCGTGACTGCAGAGATTCATATTCTTGGTTCTTTCGTTAAAGTCGCGTAGAAGGGATACAAAAAATAATTTAAAAAATATTGTTTCCCTTCTACGTGACTTTGCCGAAAGAACCAAGTATATAATTGATATTGAATGAAGACGAAATCGTTTTCGAAATCTGTTAAACTTCGTTTGGAGAGTTATTTTCATTTGAATTATTTTATTATTTCCCTTCTACGTGACTTTACCGAAAGAACCAAGAATATGGTATGAGTGTCATAAGAAATAAATTTAGTTCTGAGTGATGCAAGTTTGTTTTTTTATCCAAGATTTTTTAAATATATGGAGAACAGACCTTTTGATATTCCCACTGCATTCCTGGTTTGAGAAAGACAATAATGAACGCTTGCAAAGAATATAAGAATAGAATTGGACCCAGCATGGAACCTTGTGGAACACCCTTTGTTATTTTAATACTTGTGTATGAGATGCTATCACTATGTACCTTTTGAAAACGGTCTGAGAGGCAACTCTGAAACCATTTTATTGTACCGCCTAAACAATTTTAGTTGACCAAGTCTTGTCAGTAGAATATCATGGCCAATGGTGTCAAAGGCTTTTGACAAGAAATAGTGCATGGCAGTAGTGGCCTTTATCCAGGTTACTGAAAAGAAAATGTAATGCATCCATATTAGCTGTGGTGGTGCAGTAATACTCTCGAAAACCAGACCGTTTACAGTGCTGGAGATTGAGATTTTAGGGAGCAGTTTATTTGTGATTTTCAAGTATTTATGTTCACTGGTGAAAGAATAGAGATCGGTGTTTAATTATCACGATCTTCTGTAAGTGCAATCCTGTTTGTGTGTCTTTGTTTCTGTGTGCCTCTATTTTCAAAACTGCACCATTGCCCCGTGTGTTTCACACTCCGACGCCTCCACATACAGGTAGGCTCCTCTGATACGTGTACCTTTGTTGCTAACATGGCTTCCACAATGTGTAACGATTACCCCGTTTCTTGGCAATGGTTTCTACTTGTGCATTCGATGACGTAGAGGTCACCAGCCACCCACGCACATACACAGTCTCAGTGGGCATGAGGACCCAGAAAATTATCTGGGGCGACTCATGTGGGATCGTGAATTGGAAAAGTTAAGGGAACCCCTGCACTTTTCAATGAAACCCTCCAAGTTCACGTGGAACAACAAATGCACCGACGAGCTCATAACGGTACGTCTTTTTTTATACGTATTAATCTTATTGTTCGAGTTGTTGCTTTCGCAACTGCAGGAATTAATCTTTGTTTTTTTCGGTAAAGTCACGTAGAAATAAGCAAAACCAAAGATTAATCTTATTGTTGTAAAATACTTTGCATTGCATTTTATGCACGAATTGTCGATATAAGTTAAATTGTCTTTGAAGACTCCATGTCCATGATAGATGCTCTCCGGCATTTGAACTGTAACAACAACAACAACACATGATTATGCAATATTCGTTTTGTGCAAATACAACTTGGTAAAACCTCATTCGCGGATTTGTTTTTGTTTCACGAAATTCGATTGTTCACGATGTTATATTTTGTGTACCGGTTTAAATTTCGCGCCCGTTTTTTTCTTTTTGACTATTCCCGGTTTGGCAACGTTGCCGCGTGGGAAAGGGTTCCTTGCGCAAGTAGTTAGCGGTGGGTTTTTTTCACCTCGATCACGGAGTCTTTAAGTGTCAAGCGAGTGGTGGATGTGAGGGTAAAAAAAAGGTTTAGCTAAAAAAATCGAGTTGTTGGGATAGCCCTGGTCGTGGTGATTCTGCGTCCGCCAACCATCATCACGCCCCCATCATCATCCAAGGTAAATAAAACTTCCAAATTTACGGTATAATTTGTTGGCATTTTAATTTTCTCCATTCTACTTAGTTCAAAATGTTGCTGTATCTACTTGTATTATTGTACAATTTAATTAAGTATACGGATGTTATTTACGCGTAGAGTACAGGATGAATGTTATGAAACATTTTCATTTTCTCCCGTATCTTCATTCGGACACTGGAACCTAACCCCCCTTTTTCCCTTATAAACATCGTATCTACATTCGCAAATTCTACTTTAGCGCAGATTTTTCAAGTACCTAACCCTCGCGGATGTCAAGGCCTTACCGTACCTTTAAACTAAAGCTATTGTCACACCTGTGTTGATACCAAATGTGTAAATTGTTCAGTGCTATGACTAAGCTCAGGCGTTTATAATACCGTACTTCAAGACTGATGAATGAAAACGTTCTGGAAACTGTAAACATGTATTAGAGTAATCTTAGTTTTTTCGGTAAAGTCACGTTGAAGAGAAACAAAAAAATAATAAAAAATATATAAAACAATAAAAAAATTCTCACGACGTTTTGACCATAACTCAAACGGTCGTCTTCAGGTGTGTTGGTTCGCATAAATGTATTTTTAAACGGCGCATTTATTTATTTATAAAAAACGTTAGCGCCACGCGCAGCGATTTGGCAGTTTACCCAGGACTAGTCCATCTATATTCTGAAAAAAAAAAATTCGTCTCCCCCCTCCTCTTTTCAGAATATAGATGGACTAGTCCTGGGTAAACTGCCAAATCGCTGCGCGTGGCGCTAACGTTTTTTTTTTATAAATAAATAAATGCGCCGTTTAAAAATAAATGTATGCGAACCAACACACCTGAAGACGACCGTTTGAGTTATGGTCGAAACGTCGTGATAATTTTTTTATTGTTTTATATATTTTTTATTATTTTTTTGTTTCTCTTCAACGTGACTTTACCGAAAAAGCTAAGAATATGAATTACTGCAGTCACGAAAGCTTTAAATCAAAATTTAAGTATTAGAGTCTTATGTGGTTAATTATCCATTGACGTTAAGAGATGTAAGCATGGCGTATGCACTGGAGCAGAAATTAATAATCGTACCCTTACCTGAGAATATAGTATTATCACACCAGCAACAACTACAAATGCAGCTGTAATAAACACCACGATATCGTTGACACGAGCATCATCTGAGAAAACAAAGAGTGTTACTCAATCATTTGTAAGCACACACAAGTACGTACAAAAGATGTACCATCAGAACAGGCTTTTTTAACTATGCTATTTGGAAAACATCTTTAAGGAGGTAGCTAAAGTGAGCTATCTGCATCCGACTGTTTTAAGGGCGCCCCCCAACAGACCGGTCAAGTAAATCCTTACGATCCACTCGCACAGCATGCGGTGGGCCTTCATCCAGCAGTGGATTTAAGCACCAAAAAACTACAGTATGTCCGTACGTAATAGATGTGTGTGTAGTGCACGTGTCTTTTACCGTCAAAAGTATTATTGAAAAGTAGTATTGTAGAGTACCGTAAAAAGAACGCGGACGGCTTTGCTGTACTTGAGGACTTTCAATAAGTCGAATAAGAGCGGCTTTACACGGCTTTCACTTAAAACTTTCACTCTACATAACCTTTTTGGACGATCCCGCGATGTAACATTAATGTGAATGAATGAAAATGTATTTAAACTTTAATTGTGATATTTACATTCACTTCTAAGAGCTATAACTTATTAATCACTGAAAAAACTTAGGATTATTTGGAAGGTCTTATCTTAAGGGGTCTTAGGAAGTGGTGGGGGGGGGTCCCCCTCCCCCTCAGCCCCCCACCCCTGTCGACCCGTGAGCGTGGTGGCAGATCAGCTGCCCACAGCGCCTTATTATGGCGCAACATCACCTTGGGGGAGTACATGTTTGAGAGGGGCGCACCTTTGGTTTGCTGCTTGCTTGCGGTCACGTGACGCACTTCAGCCAATCCGTGCCGCGTTAATCACACAATCACAGAATGACAGAATGACAGACCTGGGTGTTATTATATATTTATACTTGCACAAGACTTCAAGAAAGTTGTGTACAATATTGCACAGTGGATAGCTACTCATCCCATGTTTTAACTTGATCATCACATCTCAACTCATCATCATCTTTCACGGTCAATCCACTGCTGGATGAATGCCTCCCTAAGCCGTCTCCCGCCGCCACCTCCCACATGCAATGAAACGAATCCATCCCAAGAGGTGCACAAGAACCGATTGCATCACTCCCGTCTCTTCTCGGATGTGTTCCATTTCGCGAGTGCCACCCCATTGTTATCCCTTTGCCCAGCAGCCATCAAGCAGTGTTTTTGCCCAAGCCAATGCATGTTTCTGTGTAGTTTGGATGATGTCATTAACCCCGAGTCCGTTCTCTAATCCATGTGCACCCCATTCTCTCATTGTAACTGCCAAGTATGCATCTCACTCTACGTTTCTTTGTGCGCCCTTCATATTTTGTTCTATATTTGTCGTTAATGTCCGTGTTTCTTTACTAAACCTCTAGGAAGGTAGCACTCACTCATTAAACTTTAGTATTTTGGCACATGAGTGTTACTTTCCAGGTGCTGTTTTCCCAAAACAATCCAACCCACTTTCATCTGCCTATGTTTTGTCTTCAGTACTGAGATTTAACATTATTGTGCTCAGTGCTCTGATAAGGGCACATAACAGCTGTTACATGACAGTGTAAGCTTTTTTGTTGTTGCAAAAACACGACATGCAAAAATCCAGTTATAAACCATGGGATGAGAAGCCTTTCATTGTAGAAAATTAAACGAATTTTTACAATTCAAGTGCTGTGCAATACAAGTAAATACATATATCTGGATAAATGTAAAATTATATTCCTTGTTTGCATTACATTGTTATTTAGATATAGCACTCATTTAAACTTGCAGGGAAATTCGGTTTTCTTTACATCCCCCTATTGGCATGCGTCTGTGATGTTTCTTTTCAATCATGTGACAGTGTTAACAAACATCACTTGCCTCTCTCTTTCGGCTCACACCTTCTGTCGTTTGTTTTCGCACAAGGCAATATTTCATATTCACTGGACTCGCATCTTCGTGCACACATACACACACAAAATTCAGTTCCACTGTGAACGCAACTCGACGACACAGCATATGTTCTCTGTGAGAAAAGTTCACACAGCTGAGCGCATTATAGGAGCGCGAGAAATGAGCTATGTTGACTTTGGTCTATTAAGTTCCTCGCCAATACTTCCAACAATAAAAGAGTTCAACGTTTTTATACCGCGAAATATCAAGTCCACTTCCACAATTGTGACGGCACTTTCCGAAGCACCGCACTTAAATGAAGCGCTTAGGGAGGAATTCACGTCACAGAGAGGATCAGATCAAGGCTTTTAACGGTTTCACCTTTAACAAGATACACGTAGTGTGGATGTTAGTCATTTTGCAGTGGATGGATAGATAGAATATTTAAAAAAATGGGAAATTAAAGCTTATACATGAATTTTATGACACTTTTGTACAAGCCATTCTCTTTGGAAGTATAGTAACACCCCAATTAACACCCTCCCGTTTTACGGACTTTCGCTATAACTTACTCAACTTATTGATACTCAATCCCATTTAACGTACACTGTGGTTACCTCACCATAACTTACTCGAGGATTACGAGCATTACCATTAAGCCCAAAATGCTTTACATTCCAAAGTGAATATTCAGGTGCCAGATGTCCCGAGGTGCCCAAGCATTCGTGTCCCTGACTGGCTATTGTCTCTTTCACATGTACTCTATTAACTTATATACAGTAAAACCTCGTTATTTCGGTATTTGATCATTCGTAACTGGGGGTGATTCGGCACGGCTGCGCTTTCGGCATATACAGTATTGGCAATTCGCCACGAGCTGAAGTGCCATACCAAATGGTCCAATTTCGGCATACACGTGAAGCGACGCCGTGCGCCACAACCAAAACAACGACTCAGTCTGGTGGCGGCGCGCGTGGTGAGCATCGGTGCAGACCCGTTGCTTTGGACTTTATCTTGTTTACGCACTCTGTGCAAGCCAAACCTCTCAGCAATGTCGTCTACACCCACATCAAGAAGTTATAGAAAGGGACTAATACTTCTTGAGGTTACTATCCTAGAAAATCCCTTAAGTCTGCGAGATAAATACAAAGGTTTGGATGAAATTGATGCAGGTGTGTCAATGTGTATGGTGTGTGTGTGTCGATGCGTATGGTGTGTGAAGAGTTTGGAAAACATTTAGATTTTTTTTATTGGGGCAGGAGGCATTGGGGAGTACCATTTTACATTATTCGGAATATTGGCTAATTCACCAGAGCGTCCTATGTGTTTAATGTACTTAAATGTATATGTATTTATTCATAGTGAATGGCTTACACTTTCTATACTTTGCACTCCTATTGCTTTGTGCATTGTTTGTTGTTGTAACTTTCTGACCCGCCCCTGCATGACGTCTGTGAAAAAGAGCTTCATAACTCATCAGGTTTCTCCAGGGATAAATACAGATTCTGAGTCTGAAATACGTTGGGGAAAAATTTAGTTTATATGTATTAAAAACAAAATGTACCCGGATTGTGCATTTCAGTGATTGGTGCCCTTCTGGAAAGCCCCTAAACGCGAGAAGACGCCACGTGACCCAGCCTGCAGTAGTCCAACCTCCACAGGTATTTAAGGTGACTATTTATGGCGACCATTTTTTATACAAGTGTAGTGTTGTAAATATTGACGAATAAACTTCTTATGAGGCAACACGTTGATTTATTGTCTTCACTACACCCGATATCACTACACCCGATATCTAGGGAGGTATGGCCTCCGAACTATACGGGAGCTAACTCTGGTAACCCGTTCCCTATCGTCCTCCGGCTGGGACCAAGGGGAGGCTAACTGACCCTGACCTCCTGGTCCGTGGGTCCTGACCACTGGCCTCACTGAGCTCCAGCCCTTAGAAGGACTGCGGAACTTGGGTTCCAGGGTCCTATTCTCCAGCCCAGTCTTCAGTGTGTAGATAACTGAGCCAGAGCTCTGAGTGCTCTGGCTTATATACTCGTTCATGGCTTGCTCCGCCCTAGCCACGCCCTCCTTCTGGAACACTCTGGGCCATCCTGGAAGGTGACATCATTCCCCCGGTTCCCCCCGATCCGGAGGCCTGGGGAATGTGTCCCAGGGTCCGTTTACTGGGATCCGCCGTCGGCCCCTGTCTGGCCCATTGACATTTGCCCTGGAAAGGAAATGCCTCTGCCCCCTATTGACAATAAGTGGAACCACAAGTGTAAAAAATGTAAATGATAAACAACAAATAATAATATAGTATAATAGACAAGGTAATGTCTTAATAAGTTATGTCAATAACATACACTTGTTTTTAAGACCGATGGCGGTCTTAAATGGGATACTGAGCATCCTCTGTTTAGGTACTGGAACCACGTCACGATCTACCAAAAAAGCTTCGATTGAAGTACTTTCTATTTACGTTCTGGTTTTCATGAACGAATCCTAGGCGTAAACCAGGTTATGCCTGCACTTATTTATTGAATTAGTAGGACGAAAACTGCCAAGGCAAAACGGGTTTGCATATCTGCAAAAAAAGTCATTTTCGGGCTGATTTGTGTCTAAAAAATTTGGCAACACTTTCAACACATGAACTGACTTTCAATATGGTAAGTATAGCAACACAACTTTATACTACAGTCTGGTACATATTGCATCATTTTCATGACAGACACATGATCAGATGTATAGATAATAGGCTGCTGCATAAAGGCATCAAGCCTTAAGAAAACATTGCAAAGCACTTTGTAATGCATACACATCCTTCACATATTTCACACAAAAATGTAATATCAGTCATGCAAAGTCAGCCAGATATTGCATTCACCGGCTGACTATATGTACACACTTAAAAAAAAAACGCACTCAAAAATAAAACGTTCTAACAACAGACCCCACGTTCTCACAGCCTTTGATTGAAGGCGGGCACCAATGTGGCACAGGCCAAGGATATATTTTATATTCACAGTTGACTTCCGATTATCCGTGCTAATGACGGGGAGGACGGCCAAGGATAATTTAAAGTCGCGGATGATCCGAAAACATAAATTATCCGCGGATCTCTGTGCCAAACACCACTAATATAGGTAGAAATTATGTTGAAGTCGAACAGTTTCGTAAATTAAAACTCCCAGAATAAATGATTGGATAAATATCTCAAAACAAAGCACAACTTACGATTTTGATTGTTACTCTTTCGATGTATAGAACGAATACTAACGATCGACCGATCGATGTACGTGCTCAGTGATAAGACTTTACTGCTCATGCGCAGAAGACTCGGCCCACTAACTGGATAGCAGAGCCACGCCAATCAACATCAATCAAACTCCGCCCACTGTTGGAAAGATATGCAACTACTGTACTGTAGGGGCAATCACGTGGATTTCAGATTAACTGGAGCACATCTATGTTCGGTTTAAGCACGTGACTTGTCATACACATTTCCAAGAATAACAATGTATAACTGTTATTAGATTATTAATTTGGGTTTAAGGGAAAATCTATGAGTTATCAATTCATGTCAAAATCTCAGGTGCACGGTTAATCCGCAAACCGGATAAACCGCACATGGATAATCGAGAGTCTGCACGGTACACGTAATATCAAGCGCATATTACGTGTACCGTCGGCTAAAAATAAAACAAATTAATGGGTTCTGGTGAAAGCTTGTGTTGAAAGAAAGAGGTAATAAAATGAAGAAAATTAGCCTACTATGGTCATTCTAGATTTGAAGTTTTCGTGACTGCAGGGATCCATCATACTCTTTGGTTCTTTCGGTAAAGTCACGTAGGTATAACACAAGCAGTCATCATCAGGTGGGAAAACCTGATTTTATTGCTTGTGTTGCAATCGAAACATCGTGATTTAATTTATTTTATTTTATGCCTACGTGACTTTACCGAAATAACCAAAGAGTACTATGGTCATGTCATCAGATAAAATGGAACTTGTTTAGAAAAACAGATCATGCAAGGCACAATACCCGATTCGCGTGTGCGAGGAAGACCAAGGATGACATGGATAGATAACATCAAAGCATGGACGAGGCTCAAGCTTGAACAGTGAGGATAGCAGAACACAGAAGTCAGTAGCGAAGGATTGCCCGTGGTGCAGCAAACCCTCGGATCGAGGATGGCTGAAGACAAGACTGTAATTATGAAAGCCTTATAGCTTACCCACAATTCTGGCTTTTGAGAATGTTTTACAAAGTTATTATTTTACTCGGCTGCATAAATTGCGGTACCACAAAAGTGCAATGACCATAATTTACAGATCAGCTGTGCACCTCTCCGGCAAGACACTTACTTGGTGCATGGGATGCAGATGCCGCTCCCATTGCTGTAAGTCTCATCATCACACGGAGTACAATTTGTGCGCAGATCAACTCCACCTGTAGTCCACACGCAGCGATTGTAAATAATTTTGATTAGTTTAGAGTTCAAGTATACTATGCTTCCCAATGTTTAATAGCTATTACAAATTAAGGATACGTACATTCTAGTTCTTTCGGTAAAGTCAGTAAAGTCAACCAATGAGTATGAAACGTACATTCTTTCGTGATCTTTTCTCCAGGCGAGCAGTTACTGCAGCAAAGCTTTAATTCTCCAGAGGTCACTTCGTGAGTACCATTCGGACACGCACAGACCCGATTGCTTGTTTTCGTGCAGGATTTCACCTCCACTTGCCCAATCACTGGTCAAATAAACAGCATGCATCGCAATGCAAACAAATCCGCACTCAAAGATTTCTAATAGTGAAAACAAAAATCCTTTGACACGTTACTTTTTTTTAAACAAATGCATTACTCGGTAAAAGTAAAAAAAAATGTGGACAACTCATCAAGTTTTACGGAAATTTAAAACAAACTTTATATTTTTTAAATTACCTTTTACGAATCATTCTACCGCTATCAAATGTTACTTTTAAAAGTTACTCCGTTTTGCTAAGTGTTGCTAAGTGTCAGGCGATGACAATAAAAACAGTGCAATGCATTATCTATGCACATTTTCTAAACCTGTAATCTTTGTAAACAAAATAGTTATAGTACAATTCAAAGCCTTATATCTGCAGGAGACATTATTAAAGTGAAAGGTAAATAAACTGAATCCAATTTTGATACTGCAATTGGTACTTTCAGTTTGTGTCAAATAATTTACACACAGGACCACAATTCTGGGTGATTTTATGCACATTGTTTTTTAAAGATGTGCGAAATGTGATTAATATAAACGCAACTTCTCTGTTACGGAAAATATCCGCACGAGCGTCATGCACCTTGCGAACATTACTATCGGCAACATAGATGAAAGTGCCACATCCCTACACTGTGAACCCGGAGGTCACTTAAAGGAATCTCAAAATAAAGCTCTGTAAAATATGTGTCCCATAGGCCCACTTTCACACAGAGAGTTCCACAGCTTTGCGGGAGTTCTGTATTGATACTTCATCTTGGGATAACAATGGGGGAGGGGGAGGATTTATTTTTAAAACAACACATTTTTATTGCAAGGTTGAAAAGTTGCACTATTTCACCTGAACATGATGCACACACTTCACATGGATGGAAGTTGCTGTACTCGTGGTTGTAGTATCCATCTTCACATTTCGCACAGGATGAATTTTTTGAACCTTCGCATTTTTTTGTCATTGAGGTGCCTGCAAAGAAAACCTTTTAATTCACTCCAAAAAACGGTGAAATGCAGGGACTGTTTTAACAAAGGCTGGCCGTGTGAAGCATCGAAAAGATGAATTGCAGTGGGAAGTTAATTTCTTACCGGGTGGACACTTGTTACAACATTTACCGTCATCTTCATATTCCGTCGTATCGTTGCATTTTTCTTTGGCGTGCACAGCCAGGCTTAACAGCCCCTAATCACATGCGGAGCCACACAACAAAGACAAAAGAACCCCCGTTTCAGCCTTACCATAGTGTCGGGGCAAATTGGTGTAGGCAAGTTGCACTTGTGAAGGCCGGCATGGCACACGAGGCGATGGGTGGCCATTTACCACACCCGGCCGCCTTTGTCTCCCCAGTGACAATGTTTATACATCGTGCCAGGTACTCACCGAGGCCGAGTTCGCCCAGGGGAGACCCCAGAGGTTCAGATATTTGTCAGTGGTGTGGTACGCGAGCGGAAGAATGTAACTTGAGTAACTGGATTCGTTGCGCAGCATTGCTAAGCGTTACACTGTCCACCGCTCCACTAAACACACAGCTATCTCGCTCGAGATACAAATTCAAGCACACATACACCAAGCAAAGTACCTCATTTATAATCGATCATCATCAGCCATTTTCCATCTTCCTTTATTTTGATTACTTGGGTTGTTGTTTGTCCTTTTTGTTTTGATTCCATTTCTTCATTTGGGTTAATTAATTTTAGGATTTTTGCTTGGTACTAGGGTATGATTTTTTTTGGTGTGTACGTGTGTGTGTGTCTGAGCAGGCATGGCTGCGTTGGCTGGGTCAAGTAGCCCGCATGCCCATCCACCGCATGCCTAAACAGCTTTTGTTCGGCCGGATCGAGGGGGCTAAACGGGCGCAGCACGGGCTAGAGAAGAGATGGAGTGACGTGGTACAGGAGGCACGTGGCTAGAGAAGAGATGGAGTGATGTGGACCAGGTGGCACGTGGCTAGAGAAGAGATGGAGTGATGTGGTACAGGAGGCACGGGCTAGAGAAGAGATGGAGTGACGTGGTACAGGAGGACGTGGAGCTGAGTGGACTTGCCGATGACTGGTACCAGCGGTGTCAAGATCGGCCTCTGTGGAGGAGGCTCGTGAAGGACGCTACTGAGCAGTTGGAGGCAGTCGCCCTCCAACAACAGCGGAGGGCGGAGGAGCGACGCTCACAACAACGAGCGGAGCGCCGGGTGACTAAAGCACAGCAGGTTGGCACAGTAGGGGGCACAGGTGGTGCATCAGCCAGTCATCTCAGTCAGTCGACCCGTGGCACCTGGGTCTACCCCGTGACCTCCTGCCAGCGGGCGTTCGACACTTCACGTGGCCTCAAGGTGCACATAGCCTGGCACAAGCGTCGTGGTGACGTCACCGCCACTTCGTGGCGAATGGCGGTTGTTGTTGTTGCGCTTCATTTGTGCCACGTGTAGTCAACCTCGTATATGGGATTTGGTCCTTATAGACAATACATGGACTGTACAGCGTTGTGGGATGCTGTTGCCATGAAAGAGACTACTCTATATCGGCGTTCTTCATTGCAAAGCCACCGCGGGCCACTGGCGGCCCACGGTGGCCTTTAGCGCGGCCCCCTGACAGTACACAAATGTGAAAGCACCTCTTGCAGACGGCGTTGCGACCCTCACACTGACGATGTCTTATCGGGGAAAGTGTCCCCCCATTCGACCCCCCTCTGAAAATGAGTGACGAACACTTGCACTCTATAAAGTTAACAGGACTGTATTGTTGTTACCATCACCGTGTCGATGCGAGCAATCCAATTAGCACCTGCACACGAGCTGATTTCATACCAGGAAAGGGCCCTCTGAGCCATTTAGCTCTTTTTCAGAAGCGACCTGGCCACAAATGATAGCTCAACGAAGTGGCGTATCACCGTGTGAATGTTTACAGCAGCCACATACTCGAAACGCGTGACGTTGATTCTAAATGTGGAGGGAAAAACCGGAGGACCCGGAGAAAAATCCACACGACCACAGGGAGAGAGACACCGCAAACTCCAAATAATACAGCAGGAGTCAGGGTTGGGATCGGACCCACCAGGCGAGGAGCTTAACATCTCGCCGCCACGGCACCCCGTGAAATACGCGTGCATCAACTCGAACTCCGATTTTAATCAACACTAAAGCTTATCGTTCTCATAACACTACGAAAAATTACTGCGAGGAAGTTAACAGACCGAGGAAGTTAACAGACCGCCACCGTGGCGCCACCAATCCCGACCACCGGCTATGACTCCTTCTAGTCATGATTTGTCCTGTCCAAGTCAACTTTACTTTTCTAAACAGTCAATAAATATGCAGTATCTAAAATGCAGGATTGTTGGGCGCCGAATGAAAACATTAGCAAATGACAATGAGCTTTTATTAGCGCTACACTGTAATAGTGCACAACTTGAGGTGACATTTTTTTTGCACCGAACTAGATCAGTTAGACAAGACACTCTACAAATCACACTTATCATTGACGGCAACAATGTCCACATCAGATTGGGAACATGTAAACAATATGACTGCCTCTTCAGCTGCCACTATGTCGACCAAATGTAAGGACAACTTGATTTCCAAATTCAACCTCCTCTCCAACAAGAAATCGGACCCACACACCGAAAAGCTAGATGTTAACAAAGTCGTAATTAATCGCAGTAACAGTTCTATTTCTGATGGTCTGAAATCCGTTTTAGCTAAAGGGCTAAACTTTGCAGTCACACCTAGACACATACCAGTTAATTATATCATTGCCCATGTCGACGTGGCTCTCAAGGGCCTGGGTCACATCGCTGCAGACGTAGGAAGATCTGAAATCACTGCAACCCTCAAAAACGCTAAGATGCCAGCTAGCAACATCAGACGAGCGTTTTGAATTATCTCAATTAAAAAAGAGGGATAACATTGTCATCCTCTCAGCCGACAAGGGCAATGCCATTGTCATCATGGACAAAATAGAATATAACAACAAAATTCAGGAACTACTAAATGATGGCAGCTATACAAAAATAAGAAGAGACCCCACCAACAGCCTTGCCATTAAAACCAACAAAATCATTTCTTATTCAACCGCATTAATTGATCAAACTAAACAGTTCTCATTGAAACCTTCTGCGGACAGGCCACCGAGATTATATGGCCTTCCAAAGATACATAAAGAAGATACACCCCTTTGTCCCATTGTCTCTACTATCAACTCCCTCACCTACAAACTGGCTCGTTTTTTGTCTGAAATCCTGTGGCCTTTTACTGGAAAAAACACCTCTGTGGTACTAAACTCTACTCACCTGGTATCGACAATCAAGGGTATTTCCCAGTCCCCAGACGACCTGCTTGTCAGTTTTGATGTTGGTTCTTTATTCACCAAAGTTTCTTTACCTGACACCATCGCAATCATTGAAGACTTGGTTCATCAAGGGCTGCATACTACTGTACCCCCCCTGGTGAGACACTGCTTAACCAACACATACTTCACCTGGAATGGAACTTTCTACAGACAAACTGAGGGCACCCCAATGGGCTCCCCCCTATCTCCGGTTGTAGCCAACGTTTTAATGGAGAAATTTGAGACTGACGCCATCCAAACTGCCACTCTACGCCCGACCTTATGGAAGAGGTACGTGGATGACACTTTTGTCACCTGGCCACATGGCCGGCCTGCTCTAGACCAATTCCTCGACCACATCAGTTCCATACACCCAGCCATCAGATTTACCATGGAAGTCGAAAAAGATGGCAAGCTACTCTTTTTGGATGTCCTAATTAAAAGGAGACCTGATGGTTCAATGAGCCACTCTGTCTACAGGAAAGTTACCCATATGGATGCTTTCTTAAAACCGGATTCCCACCACCATCCATCCCAGAATAATTTCCTCATCAAGACTCTATACCATAGAGCCCAATGCATCTCCGACCAGGAACACATTGCCAGTGAACTCAAGCACGTATACCAAGCTCTCAAGGCTAATGGTTACTCCGACTACACAATCCGCAAAGCCATCACTCCAACCATGAAGAAGGATCCTCTTGAGGAGCCATTCAAAATCATCACCTTACCCTACATTGCGGGGGTGACAAAAAATATCTCCAAAATCCTGAATAAACACAAGATCCAGGTCCGATTCAACACAGTATATATAATCCGTGATCTGGTCGCGTCTGTAAAAGATGTGGTTCCAGACATACAGTACCCGGGCGTCTACAAACTAAGTTGCCTCTGTGGTAGCAGTTACATTGGAGAAACCAAAAGACATGTCTCGGACCGCATCCGTGAACACAAAGCAGACCTAAAACACGGTAGGACCAACACCTCGGCCGTGGCAGATCACTGTTATAATTCAGTGGGCTCACATGACATTGACTTCTCCAAGACGGAGGTTCTCTGCAAGCCATCCGGCTACCATGAGAGATTCGTTCATGAGGCCATCCACATGTACAAACACAGAGACAATTTCAACCGAGAAGATGGATTCTGGCTTAGCAATCATTGGCAACAACTCTCGAACGCTGAGCTCTGACGTCATGAAATTTGCACAGCTTCTGCGGCTACGTCATTTCCTTCCCGAGTTACGTAAATCGACCTTACGTAGAAAGTGGGCTAACGTTGAATTTCCTTGAGTGAAAAACATCTCATTTAGTTAAATTGATTTGTTTCGGCTTTTTTCATTCGTGCAAGCATCAATTTTCTTCAGGGGTTTTCAGTGAAATACAGTATAAGGGAATATGAAATCTATCCAAGACAAGAATACAAGTTCCGGGCGAAGCCGGGTAGTAAAGCTAGTCGATTATAAAAGCCCAGAGTTCCGTGTGTCCTTCAACTAAATTATAAGAGCATTCTGAACCTGTATGTTCAAATCTAATTATTGTTTAATCAATTAATTATTGGTCCATCCATTATCCAGAAATACATAATTTTCCATGTATTGAGCAATTATTTCAAGTTTTAATATGTGCCATCATGGATGGAGGGTGAAAAAAACTATATCTAATGAACTTTGAGGTACAACCCACACATGGGGGGGGGGGAGGGAAGAGAGGACATCAGTGCCGAGAAGCCCTCTGCAGGAGTGATACACATAAACATCTTGGTTCTTTCGGTAAAGTCACGTAGAAGGGAAACAATACGTGACTTTACCGAAAGAACCAAGAATATGAATCCCTGCAGTCACGAAAGCTTTAAATAAAAATTCAAGACAAAGACTTCTTCACAAACACGTCTCTCCGGATACAAATTCGATCATTTATGATATCCCATCAACCAAGCGACCTTCTGGGACTGCATCATGTCAACAGCAATTATTGAGTACGGACTGTAGGCCGATTTCTCATCAGCAGACAGGCTTGAACCAGAGCTACTATTTCGTTTATATAGGCAAAGGACCCTCCGTTAAATATGGGTCTTAGTTCGTGACAAAACTATATAAGCATCCAACACAGGAGAATCATTTGCGTCGTTGTGGAGAACACGGTGAAGAGGAGCCTGAGACTGGTGAAGCACTTCTTTATTCTTAAACCAACCCCGAACACGTGTTTCACATCCCCTTTAAAACCATCCATCCATCTCCGCCCTCCATCCTAACCCACATCTCCGTGAGATCCCCGTGCGTGTGATTGGTGGTGCTAGTTTGAGTGCTGAGATTGCGTGTCTGTGGAGTGCGTGAGGATGGCTCGGACATCCCCTACACACGCAACATAATAAGCAAGTATGGCTCATCCACGCATAATTATTACTTTTAAAAAAACACACACACGAGGACGCTTTTTTTAGTATGGTCCTGCTTTTGGATATATTTTTTTTTCAGTCAACTCATGAGAGTTTTACTGTACGTGCTAGGAGGAAACCGGCCTTTGCCTGGCGAGCCGAGCCCAAGGTTTTTTGACACATTGCATCAGCCACGCTTTTCTTTTTTAACATAACGCGGCTCAGTGAAGATGAGCTCCCACGTGCGATACACAAACAACGCCGCGGCATCCACGAGATGTAAGATGATGACGGGCAAAGACGCTGAGAGTTGCCGGCTTATCAGTCTCGTCGTCGTCGAGTCCTCTACCCACTATCAACTGAATTTAGCCCGAAACATCCCGATTGTTAGTGTGCTAACGCTGGATATACGAGCGAATACGCTTCTGGAATTTTGTTGTTGCTGTTCTTGTTGCGATCTTAGCCGCGAGCGAGCGCTTGACGTCTGTTTGAACGTGGATTAATTCGATGAATGTGGATTAATTCCATGAATGTGAAAATAGCGGTCACGATTTCTCTGTACTTGACCGCGTATGAAATGACCCACAACTTTCTGCGGACTATTTGCCAGCAATTGTTAAACCCGCTATGCTGAGAAAGCGCCTACAGTATACAAGCTGCACAATATTACGGTAGCGCGGGATTTACAACATGTAAGATGTTACGGGAAGGCAGCGAGTACTTTGGTCTAACGATTCAAATGTTTTCACTCAAAACATCGTCACCAGTATCACCGTTATCGATCTATCATCGCGACTACCGCAGTGACAGGAGCCGAAGCAACAACTACTACAGGCTACTGCCCAAGTAAACTTTCATTGAATGGGCACAAACTCTGGAAGCGAACTCGAAAGCGGTGGTAACAGCAAAGACGTAGTAGGATGAATCATACGACTCGGTAAGGAGGGTCTCTCAATGCAAACCGGCATTGATTATCCTGCTTTGAGTACGACCAAACAACCCCCACGACTGTCAAAGAAAGCAATGGGAGATTTGCATCCACGGTCGCTGATTATTACGGTAGAAGCGATGTGAACAGACAGACGCACGTGTTTCACGTGGACGTGAGTGAGCAGCTTAGAACGGCGTTACTCACCAGCTGCAGGAACATCATCACCACGGCAGGAATGGGTCGGGGGTGCATTGCGCCAGGCGGGACTTATTCTTTTCTCTCGATCTGACTTGACCAGCGACTGTTTAAACCAACGTCGTAAGTCTATTCAGACGCTGTAAACCGTATACAGGCAGCTGAATGAAACACTTCCTGTAGAGAAGCTTGCTTCATACTCACTCTCAAATCCCACCCCACCCTTAAAAGACCGCGCCCCTACTATTATAGTAACCTACAACAACAACAACAAAAACTATTGTCGGGGAAAAGTGCTGTCAGCGAGGAGCAGACATCTGAAGGTCGACACTTTTACACGTGGGTGGTCACGGCCACGACCTAGCGTTGTTGTCTCCCCAGGTGCGATGTTCACTCCACGCATCAGGCACTCATCTGAGGCTGAAGTAAGACCTCCGTCCACCCCTATAACCCTCCGTCCACCGCTTAATTCATTTTAGGATTTTTGCTTGGTAGTAGGGTATGAATTTTTTTGGGTGTGTACGTGTGTGTGTGTCTGAGCAGGCAAGGCTGCGTTGGCTGGGTCAAGTAGCCCGCATGCCCAGCCACCGCATGCCTAAACAGCTTTTGTTCGGCCGGATCGAGGGGTCTAAACGGGCGCGGCACGGGCTAGAAAAGAGATGGAGTGATGTGGTACAGGAGGCACGGGCTAGAGAAGAGATGGAGTGATGTGGTACAGGAGGCACGGGCTAGAGAAGAGATGGAATGATGTGGTACAGGAGGACGTGGAGCTGAGTGGACTTGCCGATGACTGGTACCAGCGGTGTCAAGATCGGCCTCTGTGGAGGAGGCTCGTGAAGGACGCTACTGGGCAGTTGGAGGCAGTCGCCCTCCAACAACAATGGAGGGCGGAGGAGCGACGCTCACAACAACGAGCGGAGCGCCGGGTGACTAAAGCACAGCAAGTTGGCACAATAGGGGGCACAGGTGCTGCATCAGCCAGTCATCTCAGTCATCTCAGTCAGTCGACCCGTGGCACCTGGGTCTACCCCGTGACCTCCTGCCAGCGGGCGTTCGACACTTCACGTGGCCTCAAGGTGCACATAGCCTGGCACAAGCGTCGTGGTGACGTCACCGCCACTTCGTGGCGAATGGCGGTTGTTGTTGTTGCGCTTCATTTGTGCCACGTGTAGTCAACCTCGTATATGGGATTTGGTCCTTATAGACAATACATGGACTGTACAGCGTTGTGGGATGCTGTTGCCATGAATGAGACTACTCTATATCGGCGTTCTTCATTGCAAAGCCACCGCGGGCCACTGGCAGCCCACGGTGGCCTTTAGTGCGGCCCCCTGACAGTACACAAATGTGAAAGCACCTCTTGCAGACGGCGTGGCGGCCCTCACACTGACGATGTCTTATCGGGGAAAGTGTCCCCCCATTTGACCCCCCTCTGAAAATGAGTGACGAACACTTGCACTCTATAAAGTTAACAGGACTGTATTGTTGTTACCATAACCGTGTCGATGCGAGCAATCCAATTAGCACCTGCACACGAGCTGATTTCATACCAGGAAAGGGCCCTCTGAGCCATTTAGCTCTTTTTCAGAAGCGACCTGGCCACAAATGATAGCTCAACGAAGTGGCGTATCACCGTGTGAATGTTTACAGCAGCCACATACTCGAAACGCGTGACGTTGATTCTAAATGTGGAGGGAAAAACTGGAGGACCCGGATAAAAATCCACACGACCACAGGGAGAGAGACACCGCAAACTCCAAATAATACAGCCGGCGTCAGGGTTGGGATCGGACCCACCAGGCGAGGAGCTTAACATCTCGCCTCCACAACACCCCGTGAAATACGCGTGTATCAACTCGAACTCCGATTTTAATCAACACTAAAGCTTATCGTTCTCATAACACTACGAAAAATTGCTGCGAGGAAGTTAACAGACCGAGGAAGTTAACAGACCGCCACCGTGGCGCCACCAATACCGACCACCGGCCATGACCCCTTCTAGTCATGATTTGTCCTGTCCAAGTCAACTTTAATTTTCTAAACAGTCAATAAATATGCAGTATCTAAAATGCAGGATTGTTGGGCGTCGAATGAAAACATTAGCAAATGACAATGAGCTTTTATTAGCGCTGCCCTGTAATAGTGCACAACTTGAGGTGACATTTTTTTTGCACCGAACTAGATCAGTTAAACAAGACACTCTACAAATCACACTTATCATTGACGGCAACATTGTCCACATCAGATTGGGAACATGTAAACAATATGACTGCCTCTTCAGCTGCCACTATGTCGACAAAAATGTAAGGACAACTTGATTTCCAAATTCAACCTCCTCTCCAACAAGAAATCGGACCCACACACCGAAAAGCGAGATGTTAACAAAGTCGTAATTAATCGCAGTAACAGTTCTATTTCTGATGGTCTGAAATCCGTTTTAGCTAAAAGGCTAAACTTTGCAGTCACACCTAGACACATACCAGTTCATTATATCATTGCCCATGTCGACGTGGCTCTCAAGGGCCTGGGTCACATCGCTGCAGACGTAGGAAGATCTGAAATCACTACAACCCTCAAAAACGCTAAGATGCCAGCTAGCAACATCAGATGAGCGTTTTGAATTATCTCAATTAAAAAAGAGGGATAACATTGTCATCCTCTCAGCCGACAAGGGCAATGCCATTGTCATCATGGACAAAATAGAATATAACAACAAAATTCAGGAACTACTAAATGATGGCAGCTATACAGAAATAAGAAGAGACCCCACCAACAGCCTCGTCATTAAAACCAACAAAATCATTTATTATTCAACCACATTAATTGATCAAACTAAACAGTTCTCGTTGAAACCTTCTGCGGACAGGCCACCGAGATTATATGGCCTTCCAAAGATACATAAAGAAGATACAACCCTTCGTCCCATTGTCTCTACTATCAACTCCCCCACCTACAAACTGGCTCGTTTTTTGTCTAAAATCCTGTGGCCTTTTACTGGAAAAAACACTTCTGTGGTACTAAACTCTACTCACCTGGTATCGACAATCAAGGGTATTTCCCAGTCCCCAGATGACCTGCTTGTCAGTTTTGATGCTGGCTCCTTATTCACCAAAGTTGCTTTACCTGACACCATCGCAATCATTGAAGACTTGGTTCATCAAGGGCTGCATACTACTGTACCCCCCCTGGTGAGACACTGCTTAACCAACACATACTTCACCTGAAATGGAACTTTCTACAGACAAACTGAGGGCACCCCATGGGCTCCCCCTATCTCCGGTTGTAGCCAACGTTTTCATGGAGAAATTTGAGACTGACGCCATCCAAACTGCCACTCTATGCCCGACCTTATGGAAGAGGTACGTGGATGACACTTTTGTCACCTGGCCACATGGCCGGCCTGCTCTAGACCAATTCCTCGACCACATCAGTTCCATACACCCAGCCATCAGATTTACCATGGAAGTCGAAAAAGATGGCAAGCTACTCTTTTTGGATGTCCTAATTAAAAGGAGACCTGATGGTTCAATGAGCCACTCTGTCTACAGGAAAGCTACCCATATGGATGCTTACTTAAAACCGGATTCCCACCACCATCCATCCCAGAATAATTCCCTCATCAAGACTCTATACTATAGAGCCCAATGCATCTCCGACCAGGAACACATTGCCAGTGAACTCAAGCACGTATACCAAGCTCTCAAGGCTAATGGTCACTCCGACTACACAATCCGCAAAGCCATCACTCCAACCATGAAGAAGGATCCTCTTGAGGAGCCATTCAAAATCATCACCTTACCCTACATTGCGGGGGTGACAAAAAATATCTCCAAAATCCTGAATAAACACAAGATCCAGGTCCAATTCAACACAGTATATATAATCCGTGATCTGGTCCCGTCTGTAAAAGATGTGGTTCCAGACATACAGTACCCGGGCGTCTACAAACTAAGTTGCCTCTGTGGTAGCAGTTACATTGGAGAAACCAAAAGACATGTCTCGGACCGCATCCGTGAACACAAAGCAGACCTAAAACACGGTAGGACCAACACCTCGGCCGTGGCAGATCACTGTTATAATTCAGTGGGCTCACATGACATTGACTTCTCCAAGACGGAGGTTCTCTGCAAGCCATCCGGCTACCATGAGAGATTCGTTCATGAGGCCATCCACATATACAAACAGAGAGACAATTTCAACCGAGAAGATGGATTCTGGCTTAGCAATCATTGGCAACAACTCTCGAACGCGGAGCTCTGACGTCATGAAATTTGCACAGCTTCTGCGGCTACGTCATTTCCTTCCCGAGTTACGTAAATCGACCTTACGTAGAAAGTGGGCTAACGTTGAATTTCCTTGAGTGAAGAACATCCCATTTATTTAAATTAATTTGTTTCGCCTTTTTTCTTTCGTGCAAGCATCAATTTTCTTCAGGGGTTTTCAGTGAAATACAGTATAAGGGAATATGAAATCTATCCAAGACAAGAATACAAGTTCCGGGCGAAGCCGGGTAGTAAAGCTAGTCGATTATAAAAGCCCAGCGTTCCGTGTGTCCTTCAACTAAATTATAAGAGCCTTCTGAACCTGTATGTTCAAATCTAATTATTGTTTAATCAATTAATTATTGCTCCATCCATTATCCAGAAATACATAATTTTCCATGTATTGAGCAATTATTTCGAGTTTTAACATGTGCCGTCATGGATGGAGGGTGAAATAAACTATATCTAATGAATTCTAGATTTAAAGTTTTCGTGACTGCAAGGATCCATACCCTTTGTTTTTTTTTACCTACGTGACTTTACCCAATAGAACCAAAGAGTATATATCTAATGAACTTTGAGGTACAACCCACACATGGGGGGGGAGGGAAGAGAGGACATCAGTGCCGAGAAGCCCTCTGCAGGAGTGATACACATAAACATCTTGGTTCTTTCGGTAAAGTCACGTAGAAGGGAAACAATACGTGACTTTACCGAAAGAACCAAGAATATGAATCCCTGCAGTCACGAAAGCTTTAAATCAAAATTCAAGACAAAGACTTATTCACAAGCACGTCTCTCCGGATACAAATTCGATCATTTATGATATCCCATCAACCAAGCGACCTTTTGGGACTGCATCATGTCAACAGCAATTATTGAGTACGGACTGTAGGCCGATTTCTCATCAGCAGACAGGCTTGAACCAGAGCTACTATTTCGTTTATATAGGCAAAGGACCCTCCGTTAAATATGGGTCTTAGTTCGTGACAAA